TATATATATATATGTATATATTTCTCTTAATGTATGTGTTTTTATCATGAAAAGTTGCCACTATGTTGTCTGAAAAAGTTGAAGAAAGGGAATTTAGAATTCGAAAAGGATTGGAGAGAAATTAGAATTCACTCTCATGCAGTCCATGCCATCGAACCTCAGTTCATATACCTGCCTGACCAGACAAACGTACTAACCATACAACTAAACTGCACTCTCAATTGTGTTTCTGGGGAAACATTTTTTCTCAAATTGAAACAAAACAAAACATGATACAAAAGTACTTGGTTAGGTATAACCAACAAAACTACTTGTTTCACTGTGGACACAACCAGCTGTCTCCTGGTGAGAGGTCTGTGTTTTTTGACCTATCCAACACCAGACCTCCTTCCCCATCAAAAGAAAACGTAATTCACGACAAAATATGTTTACCTTGAAACTCATTTCACAACGTAGTTTTGTTGTATAGGAACGTTATTCTTAGGAGACCGACAGTCACACCAGTTGCACCCACATCACAAAGCTGTCGTGTTGAATGTGTGTAGTTTATGGTATGCTGAATGGATGAAGATCTTAACTTGTATTTATATCATTGTGTGTGTCTCAAATATACAAAATAGTATTTTGTATATTTGGTTTTGAATGAATTGAGCAAGAGTTTTGCTCAACAACACAATAACTAGCGCTCTACTCTTCCACTCACCACACTCCGGAGGTCTCTCAAGACAGTTGACCTTCTTTGCATCCATATCCAGGACATATTTACAAATTCTGAGAAGCACTTTATGCAGTGTTGGTTATTCGTAATGTAGTATAATTGAAATGAAAATAGTTGAATTGCACCTTATTGTTATTTGGCAGTCTTCAGAATGCATACAGTAAATCTTGATAATACATGCGGTAAATGGTGCATATGTGTCCATATATTTTTATGAATGGTGACATTAATGTTTTTCTTCTCTGCTGTCCATGTTCATGCCATCATCTCCCACTGTCACTTATTTTTGCCACAGGCACACCTTTAGCTGAAAGCTCTCCTTCTTTACTCAATGACATCACTTCTCAAATTTGTGTTTCCCTCCGACAGGCAGCACTTGCCTCCTCTGGAGGACTTTACTGTCTCCATGGCTGCGCTGTAACTATTCAATTGCTTCAGTTTGGCATGAAATTCACATTGCATGAATTGTTAGTGTTATACTGACAATGGTGTTTAAAAGCCAGGGCCCTTTTACTACACATTTTACTAGCCTTCTTAATAGTGCATAATACCAGACTGGGATCATATCGATGGCCTCTGAACATGGTGACCCCTGAGTCAGCTGCTTGTAGCCAACTGTTACGACTGGTGAACAACAGGGAAAATAAGGACTCAATTGCATGACCAGAACGCAGGATAAAGTGTAGGTAAAAACATCTTTACTTGTCAGCAGAAGTTCGGTACATGGGTAGGCAGTCAGAACAGACAAACAAATCAGGCAGGGATCAGGCAAAAACGGTCGAGGAAAAACGGGCGGAGATATCAACAACCAGGAATATAACACTATGAAATTGCTGCAGCGCTTGACACAGAGGACAAAGACGAATTGGCACAGAGACAGGGGAAATACAGAGTTTAAATACACTGGGGAAGTGATTAGACACAGGTGGGATCAATCAGGGGCAGGGAAGACAATCACAGTGGTGGAAAAACACGCAAAGGCAGACAGTGAAGTGATCTGAAACAAAAGAAAACAGGAAACACTAATAACTGATAAAATAAGGAAAACATGACAGGACGAGACATGACAGCTAACAGTGCTGACAGAGCTAACAGTGTTTACACTGCGGGGAACCGGACGAGACGCTGTTGGTTTGGACGGCGTTATCCGCCGTAATTGCTGTATGAGAGCAGTGAAGAGTGGTGGTCGTGCGCTATCCAGTGGGGCATGCACTAAAAGGCTCGCGGCCGGCCAGCTATGTGAACAAATCAAGGAGAAGCTCTGATAACAACGCACACACAGAGGGAAAGAGACTTCATTCTGTGCACAAGTAGACAGCTGATGTTAAGAAGCTCAAAACGGTGTGCAAGTGCCTTTGCTTTTAAGTACTGCTTTGGGAAATGAGTGTCAAGATTTAAAACCGTTGATAGAAATTTCCATCAGGGACCATGATGTCCTGGACTTTGTCGTGTTATCCCTGACAATGTATACGCTTGTATTGTGCATGAATTACACTGTTATCCTTTAATTGACGGGACACTGGAGCTAATTCTTTCTAGTTTGGCTCAGCACCAATAATACATGCATGTTGAATATCTTCTGTTGTTTGAACAAGCTCAGACAAAAGCATTGATCTGCCTCTCATGCAAAAGTTTCCTTTATGAAATGATCAGATGCGGTGATACTAAAGTTTGAAATGTGAGCAAAAGAACAGTTTGGAAGCACGAACCAAAAAGTGTGTTTGTGAAAGCCATTTGTCAGAAGGCAGCAGTAGCAAAAAACATGTGTGTTTCTGCAGGAAGTGGATCCCATGCAAGCAATTGCGGTGAGTTGCTTTAATTTTTCTTGAATTCAAGTTTTGTGGAATTTAGGAGTTGGCACTATGTGATGTACAATTTGTTCTCTATGTTTCTCTGAAAAGTCTTCTGAGAACATGAGCGTGTCGGTAACATTCTTCAGACTGTTTCGTGTCATGCGTCTTGTGAAACTTTTGAATCGCTCTGAGGGGATACGGAATCTTCTGTGGACCTTCATCAAATCCCTTCAGGTCAGTACCATCTCTCAGCAAAATTCAGCCTGTGGTTTAGCATCAACATGTCTCTCTGACTGTGCTATTGTTCATTGTGTTGCAGGCTCTTCCCTATGTGGGCCTGCTTATTCTCATGCTGTTCTTTATATATGCTGTGGTTGGAATGCAGGTACACACACACCACCCATTATTGTTAATTATATTATGGCCACTGAGTATTTTCAATTCTGATTGAATGGATGGTGTGGATTAGTAACCAGACACCTATGACATACTGTAAGTATTTGATTGCAGTTTGCTATTGTTTGAAACAAAGATGATGATATTGCAACCCTAGTTCTATAAGCACAGGCGGAGCCCTACACTGGACTCTATAAGTACTATTCTCATCCAATCATGCCTCAAAAAATGTGCATAAGCGTCAATCCGGACGTGCCTAACCAAATATGTGCGGACTCCACAGTATAGAAGGCAGCACACACCACTGTCTGTTGACTGCTGTGACAACCGACAAACACCCTACCCTTTTCACCAGTCCTGTGTTGTTCCAGCAATTACTGACCCTGGAAAGGATGAACAGATAGGGCGCCAACCACGATGCTGCTATATATGTCCTTGACACTCGCTGCGCTTAACAAGGCCACTGACACTGCCACACTGCGTGTAAAAAAATAGTGGGTTGGTCGCTTCCCGCTTGCCAATAGGTTTGCGAGATGTACTGACAAATCCATCTCCCCAGAAGTTTCATGGATAGGGCTCCCAACGGCCACACCCTCCCCAAAGCACTGAACAACTCAGTGTGTCTGATGGGGGCTGTGCGTTCAACATAACACGCCAACGCTCAAACTGGGCAAAGCCGATGTAACTTTTCTTCCCTCTGTCCCGCATGGGGTGGAAGACAAAAATCAGCCAGCTGTATAACCTTTGACCTAAAATAACTCCTTAAATTCTTGGGAACAAAGAGGGATTTGGCCTGAGGGTAGCCTATTACGGTCACCACAAAGCAGCAAAACAATTTTTTTTAAATTAAATGACATTTTGTTTACATGTATAAATTCTCACTCCTGCATAATTTGCCTAAAACCACGTACCCAAAGTAAACTGACAGCTCTTATTGAACCATTGGGAGTACATGTATGGTTTTAGTCTTTATTGAACAGCAACACTCTGAAGTTTCTTCACAATCAGTGAGAAAGACCATAAGGACCAGTCAGGACTCCTAGTATAAGTTAAAATTCGATAACAATACCACAGAAAATTGAAAATTGATATTTTACACATGGTTTAGTAACAGTGCAGCCTCATAAAAACACATTTTGGAGACTTGCGTCACCACGTCAAAATGCGTATACTACGTGTCCGAAATTCGAACTACAGTTTATTTATGTCGATGTATGGTTAACTATATCATATTTAACCACTATCAACTTTCACAGATTCTTGAAAATTCTCATGAACCAGACTTTAGTCTTCATGCTCTGTCCCAAGAACTTGACTCATGGTTTCCAGTTCAGGTTTGAGAACTTTCCCAGGGGGCCATCTGATAAATCTGCATATCCCTGGCTTCGTAATTTCATTGGCTATATGGAGCCTGAGCTTGAACTGGATCTGTTGCGATTGGCTCGAGCTATACCCAAAGAAGTGAGGCGGGCATTGTCTTTCAAAGCGGACTCTCGTTGGCTGTTCCAGACTGTGGCCGGGCTATAGAAGCTCCTATGTCAAATGAGGTGTCAATCTAACCGGCGGAACGTAGGCTCCATTTTGCGATGAAAATCTCCGCTCTGTTTACACGGAACGTGAAGTTCCGATCGAAGTTATCATATCTGCTGGCTAATTTGAAATGATGCAACAGCCCCCCCCGTGGGTCTTTATGGACGTACTAATGTGTTTTGGACTAAATCTTTTACTGGATTCGATCGAGTGGACCCTTAGCCACCTAGCAAGACCGTTTTTGCTGGACTAGCATGCACAAGGGTAACGTTATGAATCATAATCGGTGAGTCACGGCGATATGAGATATCACATTAATACTCATGTTACAGGGCAGTTGTGTGCATAACACAAATATGCAGTTATTATTCTGACGGCCAATAACAACACGTTATCCCCACATGGCACACCTATAGTCCCCTGATGTAGAAGGGTTGTGATTGGCCTGTCCAAATCCAGGAAATGTAAGGGGCGAAGCACTGCCGTTCTTTAAATAAACGTTGCATTTAGTAATCCCTAGACATTCAGTAAGCAGAGATGTTGGATTGTCTGGTATCACGCAAAGCCAGTGTAAACCGGGTTACCCGATACAGGTGCTATTAATAACATGACATTCTTTTTCTCTGCAGATATTTGGTAAAATTGCATTGGTTGACGGCACATACATCAACAGGAACAATAACTTCCAGACATTCCCACAGGCTGTGCTGCTGTTATTCAGGTTGGTGGTCTGTCCACAGCTAGTACTATTCAATTCAGAGAATGTTGTGAAAAGTTAAATGACTTGTTATAGAATTTAACCTTTTAATGCTCTCACCCAGGACAGAGCAACACCATGCATGTAATTACATTTCATACTACATTTGGGTATAAAGAAAATAAAAAATCCACACTACCACACACACACTCAACTGATCTATTGATCACGCAGTTTTTCATTATAATTATACACTTTTATGGGACGTGGGAATGTCACAGTCACAGATTGTCACTTGTGCTTGGATGCCAAGCTCAAAATGGCATGTCTTATCTAATATAAACCTTTCAGAAGGCAAACCCAAGAGATTTAGGGGGAGGATGTGGCTCAGTGGGTAAAGCAGGTTACTCTTAAACGCAAAGTTGGCAGTTCAATTCTCAGCTCCTACTGTTTGCATGTTCAAGTGTCCTTGAGCAAACCCCACACTGCAGCCCACTGCTTAGGATACATTAATGCAGAGGTCAAATTTGAGAATGCTTGGTGCTGAGAGTTTTTCTCTCCATCTGGTTGTTAACTTAAATTAACTGAAATCACAATGAGCTAATGCACGGATCGTGACACAAGTGAAGGAAAGTACTTTAAACAGGCATCAATTAAGACCTCTTGTTTATTTACCAACAAAGGCAATGAAGGCATTCAATGTAGTCGCAGAGTAGTCATTAAATCTCCTCGACATGACAGCAAAACATAATACCACGTTCGCCGTGAAATATAAATGGGAATATGGATAAGTTTTAAGTAAAACTGACTTCTGGTTTGTCAGGGGTTTTGTTCTTTTAGCTAATGCAGCTAATTTGTCTTTAGTTTTAGATAAGCATATTAACTCTGGAACTGGGAAAGATACTTAAGACCATTGTTGGGTAACTTTACTTACATTATGTTCAAAATAACTTGTTACATTACACTGTCATCAAAAAGTAACGTGTTACGTTACAGCTTTACCTACGGAGAAAAGTAATTTGTTAAGAGTACTTTTGCATTACCAAAAATGAACACTGATTCTTTCTACATGTTGGTTATATTGGTCCCAGGGATGACTCTTCATTTGATATTGGTAGCATCTCCTCCAACACCTAACTAGCTTTAAACTCGTTAATTTCCTTGGGAGTGACAGACGAAAGCCGTTTTGTTTTCTGGTCGGAGGTGATCGTCTAAAAGTCCACTGCACTTAATCTAATTCCCATGCTTCCCTTTCCTATGTTGATGAATGTATTCTGTCATATGCCATTAGTGCTCCAGTAATTAACATGGAAAAATAACAAATTAAGACAAAAAACTAATTGCGAAATTCATGGCAGTTACATCATGCAAATGTTTAAGATGAGTCACAATAGCCCATTCACTGGGCTATTGTGACTCATTTCTAGTCCATATGACCTCACTCTATCTAAATCGTTTTCTCATTTCTCTGGTCTAACGTGTTCAATATCTCTTGTCTAACCTGACCTTTTTCTCATTTCATAAGGCTAACGGGAAATTTTCTCATTTCGCTGGTCTAACGTCAGCCCAACTATCCTTTTCTCTGGTCTATTGTGACCCCAATTATCATTTTCTCTGGTCTAACGTGACCCCGACTATTCTTTTCTTCGGGCTAATGTGACTTTCGTAAACCTTTTCTCCCATGACTAATCTTCTCTTTCTGCTTAGGAATGCACTACTGCGTTAGATAAACATAAAATATTTTAAAGATATTAAAAATAATGTAAAAACAAATAGCGTCATAATAAAATTTTTCCAAAAGTTATCTATATACATATACAATAAAATATTTTTAGAACTAAATCACTTGCTTATCTATGTTTTGGTGCATCGTCAGTATGATTTTGTTCTTGGTGTTTTCTACAAAGCATCACTAACTTGCATTGAAACACAAAACAAATGTATATTTCCTGTACACTATAATGTGGACACACTTTCAGCCAACATTGCACCACCACAAGTGATCTGCATGATTGTGCCTTATTGTGTCTTGTGTGTCCACAAAAATCATACCAAAATGTTAAATACACGCTCATATGCATGTTTGCCAATATATGATGAATTAGAATAGTGACTGCATTATTAAGTCAGTACTTGCAGGAGAAATCTCAGTTTTAAATTGTAGAAATATTGACTTTTAGAAATGTCATTCTCTCTGTAAATGTAACAATGCTGGTACAGTTTTACTCAAAATGAAATCAGATCTGTCATGCTAATGATAAACTTACTAATTAAGTAGCACAAAATGAAATCCCTTTCCTAAAGCAAACGCTTAACAAGAAAGCAATGTCAGCATGAGTATTGTTGTGTTGACCGATTTGCTTTTCAGTGCGAGTATCAGGTCAGAGATGTGATGGGAGACATTTTGATATCTCGGTTGTGCAGATGTGCTACAGGGGAGGCATGGCACGAAGTGATGTTAGCTTGTATGTACGGGAAGAAATGTGACCCCAAGTCGGACTACTTGCCTGGGGAAGAGTTCACCTGTGGATCCAACTTTGCCATCATCTACTTCATGAGTTTCTACATGCTCTGTGCCTTTTTGGTAAAATAACACACGTTCACAATTGTATTGTTTCTATACTGTACATCACTGCTCCTGGGTTATTCTTTTCATTGATTCTATCCTTCCCAGATCATCAACCTATTTGTGGCTGTCATCATGGATAACTTTGACTACTTGACACGTGATTGGTCTATCCTTGGCCCCCAACATTTGGATGAGTTCAAGAAAATATGGGCCGAATATGATCCTGAGGCAACGTGAGTGTTTTTACATTGCAGTCATTTAGCAGACGCCTTTATCCATAGCGACTTACAATAAGTGTATTCAACATAGGTATTCAAGAGAACTACCAGTCACCAGAAGTCATAAGTTCAGCTTCTTGTTTACACAAGCATCTAAGAGCATGAACCAGAGCAAAAGTACGGTGCAGAAAGAAACTAATACGAATACAATAAGTGCTAACACAATATAATAAGTGCTAAGTGGAAGGCTCTGGGTAGTACTTCTTGAAGAAGTGAGTTTTCAGCCTGATGAAAGATGGGCAGCGACTCTGCTGTCCTGACGTTAGTGGGGAGTTCATTCCACCACTGTGGGGCCAGGACAGAAAACAGCCGTGACCGGGTCGATCGGCCGCAGGGACCTCTGAGTGACGGGGCAACCAGTCACCCCGAGGCAGCAGAGCGAAGTGGTCGGGCGGGGGTGTAGGGCTTGACCATGGCCTGGAGATAGGAAGGAGCTATTCCTTTCACTGCCCTGTATGCTAGCACCAGAGTCTTACACTGGATGCGAGCTCTTACAGGGAGCCAGTGTAGAGAACGGAGAAGGCAAGTTGTGTGGGAGAACTTGGGATGATTGAACACCAGACGAGCTGCAGCTTTCTGGACAAGCTCCAGAGGTCTGATGGCCGACGCCGGGGCTCCGGCAAGTAGTGAGCTGCAGTAGTCCAGGCGGGAGATGACAAGAGCCTGGATTAGCACCTGCGCCGTCTCGTCAGTGAGGAAGGGGCGAATCCTCCTGATGTGTTTGTGTCTGCTTCTAAGAGGAGAATGGCAGAGGTCTGGTAATTATTCTCTAAAAACCCACTGTCTCTCTGCATTTGAGTAACGTGAATCTGATATGCATATAATGCATAGGCGCACAGGCGCACAGCCGCAGGAGTATAAATCAGGCACAAGGTGTTGAAGATGTGCTGGATTAGATGACTGGAGAAGGCAGAGTGTGTGGCAGTCACCGCAGTGCTCTGCGTCTATGTTCATTGCAGCGATTTACCAATGTAGACTTACTGAATTCTGAAATCATACTTATTAGTATTATAGTATTGTATTAGAAGGTATTATTGAAGTTTATTGATGTTCTGTTTTGCAATCATTTAACTCTATTGATATGTTATCTATTATCTTTGATTTCTACAATATATGATGGTAATTTTATCAGTTAGCTTAGTTAAGGTGCAAGATACGAGACAGGGAGCAAACAGTAAATACTATGGCAAACATGTTGAAAGAGTTTACAGTGTCAACCAAAGAGGGAACCACGGGTGGCAACTTGGGCGAACCAAGCTGAAAGAAGCCAATCTCAAGGTAGGAGACAGAAGGCTGGTGGGTTTATCGGGAATCAGACTGGTAGGTCAGAGGCAGCTAGGGTCGGCCACAGGATATCAGTCCGGATCAAAGTGCTGGATAGTCTTGCATGATGAAGAACAATCTGGCAATGAGTGAGGGAGCAGGAGAGGCTTTAATCGTGGCTTGATTGGAGATGGGAAGCAGCTGTGTGAGCAGGTGAAAGAGTTGACTGATGATGAATGGAAAGGTACTGAATAGGACTGGGTGACTATGAATGCAGAATTGTTGCAGTAGTAGGGTCCTTTGAGCTCTTTAAAATATGATGGTGCCTTACCATTTAGGGCTTTCTAGTTGAGGAGAAGGATTTTAAATTATGTTCTGGATTTTACAAGGATCCAAAGCAGACAAGCTTATAAACTGTTGATTCAACCAAGACAGCTTGAAAAGGTGGGTCTCGGTCTCGCCAATACTGTCCAATCAATCAGTTACCTGTCTGTATAACTTCATATTTATTCCTCTTGGTTTCTTTCTAAAAAGGCAGTGTGAGCAGGAACCGGACCAGAAGTAAAATGTCATGTCAAAACGTTTATTTTTCTCTTGCTGAGGACAAAATAAACCCAATTTAGGGTGTGAAGAAGATATGAAGCACATACAAAAGTGGTGTATGAATGGGTGAATGAACATGTAGTGTTTCAGCGCTTTGAGTGGTCAGAAGTCTAGAAAGGCCCGGTTAAAAGCACAGAGATGGTGCCAGGATGCGATTGAGATATGACTCATGAGCAGATTATCATAGTTTATAAAAATGCAGCACAGTAACAATACACATGTGCATAACGAAGATCTACTGATGCACATTCAACTTGCCTGTTGGACCCGTTCATCCGTCACTCTGTTTGTCACTGTCAGTAGAGAATCCAGTCTGCGATGGAGTTCATACACTTAACTGATGACCCAAAGAAGAATTGTAGAGTAACACTGGGTTTTAGATCAATCTACATTTTTCAATTACGTCTACACTACACTGTAACATTTTATTTAAATAAAAAATATTCAGATGTATGTATCCTGTATGTATGTACACTATGCTTTGTACAGCTATCAGCACAGTGCAAATGGTCAGTGCAGGTTTACACAGATGATCGACAGTCTTCAGGGTGCTTTTATTCCATTGGATAGTCTTTTCCTGTTATGCAGCGTTCACACCAAAAGCGCACGTTGATCGCATCATTCGCACCACTTTACTCGCGAGGGACCATTTGTGGTCATTCGCGTGATTCGCGCTAGACGCACCGGAGAGGGGGCGTGGCTTATCGCCCTGGAAGCCGTTATTAACTTAAGCCATTTATTTCGCCATCAACCATGGAAGAAATAACCTCTTTCTGCTTAGTACTTGTTCTGGAAGTGCCAGATATCCCAGGAAACTAAACGCCTTCTTGTCTGGGTTTATAACATCATCCGGAGGAGCTCTGTGGATTTCATCGAGGTGTATTCACTGTGTCTAGCAAGCCACATGTCGGCTGGTTTACTCCAGCTGTACGAACACAAAATATGCAGATTTTGCTGTGATTTAACTGCAATAAACGGACAAAAGGGATGCCGAAATAACTACGTAATGATGCCAATTTGTAAAAAGTTTGAATTCATGTTTTGTTAGCTCTCTACACAAGACGACAAGCAAATAACTTTTAAAATACTTGTTTTCTCAATGGAGCTCGGATCGATCAGTGCTATTCTATGCTAACCATGTAGCAGCTCCATCAACACGTAAATACGGTAGCGTCTTTTTCATTGTTTGTACATATATATACATAGTTTCATCCGGTCTCTACTAATATGAGGTATCGTAGAGCTCTGGGTGCCCACCTACGGTTACAATATGTTTTTCCTGATTCAACAAAGTCAGTGATGACAGGGGGAGCATCTCAATGCTGATAGGCTATTGCGCTGCAGCATGACGCGTTTTTTTCGCCCGAGTTGAAAAATTTAAATTTGCGTCATCGCGATTGACGCGAATTTGTATGTAATCTACTTGCGTGAATAATTCGCGCTGCATTTGGTGTGAACAGGGCATTACAGCAGCTCACACATCTTGCTGCATTGCTTGCACACTGCTGTATTTCACCCAGCAGGTATGGACATTTCTTTTTTGTTTTGTTAGTCATGTTTTCAAAAGTTTTGTGAGTGTTTGTAATTTGTGGAAAGTAAATGTCCCTAATGACTTGGTACAGCTGGCAGGCAGTTAAAAATTGCAGCTCAGTTTCCACCTCATGTTGTGTGCAGTGTGTTTAGTCTGTCCTCTTTAGAAGCCTAGTACAGCCAAGTTTGTATTTAGTGTTGGCTTAGTCATTGTGGTCAGATATTCTGCCACTGTGTTTCTGGTAGATTCTCTCCAATGTGTCAAGTAGTTTTCTTTTGTTTTCTTATCATTTGGTTAAGTCGTATAGTGTGTACCTGGTGTTTGTGAATAGAGTGCAGTGTCTAAATTTGGTGTTTGTCCCATTAAGTTGAATGTTGGTTGGCAAGTTAACGCCTGACCTCACTGGTATGAAGGGAAATAGGTTATTTATCAGAGTCCAATTTTTGAAGCCAGATTTTAATTGGGATTTTCAACATGACATTCCTTTTGATGGAGTAGAAAGCCATTATTGCCTTGTCTCTCAGGTTGTTCACAGTATAGTTGAAGTTTACTTTGGTGCTGATGTTTGGACCGAGGTAGATATAGTTTGTTGTGTAGTCTAGGGCAACCGTATCAAGAAATTATCATATTTGTCTTAGATTCTCTGTCGAGGCCCAGGTCTGGGAGATCAAGGTGTTGATGTACTCGTGCTTTGGTTGGAGAGGAGCATCAGATCATCTGATTTCAGTGTCAAACTCAAGGCCCGCGGGCTGAATCCGGACTGCCACATCATTTTATGTGGCCCGCAAATACGCCAGCAAAAAAGAAAAGAAAAGTTAGACTTGAAAATAAAATTTCCCCATGGTTGAAATTCTGAGATTGAAAGTCATAATTATGAGATAGAAAGTCGAAATTATGAGATAGAAAGTCGAAATTATGAGATACTAAAACACAATAGTCATAGAAGCAGCTCTTTGGCTGGTTACTGTACATTTGACATAGAAATGTATTGTGAGTACATTGAAGACTACTTTAAACGTGACTTTACAACACATGAAATACTTCAATTGCTTGCTGTTTTACATGGGATTATACTGAGCAAATGCACCCTTGAAAGGATTTTCAGCAAGAAGCAGCTCTGGCGTAGAAAGAATAAAACTGATGTGGCTGAGGTGGCAACCTTCATTGAACAGCAACTGGAAACATCTGGTCAGTGTCATGGTTACAGATGGATGCACCAAAAGTGCCATGGGGATATTTTTATTATCAAGTCAAATTTTTCATAAATACTGTTCAGTTGAACAAAACCATTATCTCCTCTTGGACGCTTTTTCTTTTTTGTGGACTTTTTGAGTTTGATAAAGAGAATTACCTGAGTTGCCCAGTAGAACAATAAAACGTGACCTTTTTCTGGAACCTTTGATTTTTGCCTATTTCTGTTAATTACCTTGCACCACCCTAGCCTGCCATATTGACTTGTCATGACATTACAGTATGTGTACTACTTTTTTTGTACATTATTAGATACTCTGCCAAACCTTCAATTTTAGAGGAAGCTCTAGTGGCCAGATCTTTTTCATAATCAACAGCTAAAACCGGTCACACATCCGGTTGTACAAAATGTCTACAACTGTCAGTGTAGCGGGAGTAATACTAATGGGATGAAAAAGTGATTGAGTTTAAGAACTACTGCCACTTATAATTTTGAGCAATGAGTTAATTTCAAAATACTTCAATGAAACACTTTCAAATCATCTTCTTGTCTTTCAAAAATGGAGGAGGAGCATCCTCCACCTCTATAAACCAGCTTCCTCTGGTTGGTCTTGAGTTGAGTCGAAAAATGGTTAGTGTACTATATTAACTATATATGCAGCCATTCCTCATATTCTCCACTATTCGCTGATATTTTACAGAAATATTCATGTTTCTCTACAGATGGATGTTTTGTAGGACTAAAAAGGTGCAACGTGTAAGATATGGCCACATGCTTCAAACAAATAAGGGGCATCATTTCTCCTCTGATGAAATTTAGATGTGTAAATTCAAATAGTATGGATCCAGTAGCAGTTATTTGCAAACTTATAATCTTCATGTGAGGCGTCGGACTACATTGTGTTTGCAGTGCCACAAACTGAGGGCAGTACTGCTCATGTACATATTGATAGTTTCTTTACTAGATTAAATCCAAAGTGTATATTGTATTTTAATGTTGTTCTCCCCGCCACCAGGAGACTACTTTGCAAGGAGAAGAGTGTACCGCAGCTCTGGGAGACGGACTGTCTGTATGTGTGTCAGTATAAAATCCTTTATTTTATATTTTGTCTTACAGGGGGCGTATTAAGCACCTTGATGTGGTGACACTGCTACGAAGAATACCTCCTCCTCTGGGTTTTGGCAAGTTTTGTCCACACCGTATCGCCTGCAAGGTGAGAAAACAATGTTTAGCCTGATGTCAGGTGTCACATGGCAATCCTAATGTAATCAAGTGTTTTGCTCTTCAGGGAAATGGTGGTGAGTTTGGAATAAACCTCTGTGTGGTTCTTCCAGTTCCAGTGTACTAAGGACAGAAATAAATCACAAAGTAGGCGGCCCTTTGTTTTTAAAAGCAGAAGAGATAATGCTCTATTTGAACAAAGGCAATGTCTTGTAGATTTAAAAAATATATATATTTATTTAAATGCTTTCTAACTTGCCACTGGTAAGCATCTGTTCATTTGGTCAATGACTTAAGGCAGCTCAGGGTAGTGAACAGTAAGTTTAAGCTATTTTTATTTTAACAGGGCATGGTGAGAATCTTGCTATGTTTTGTTGTTGTTTTTTCATTATTTTACATTGCTATATATATTTTGTGATTGAACAGTTGATCTTTTTTTTTCTTGCACCTTCCCCTAGAAACTAATTTCTAATTGTCACAATGGGAAACAGCTGTTCGGTTATTAAAGACAAAAGACTAAAATTGCAATTTAATTGTATTGTATTTCACTGAACTTTTCTCTGTGATTTGGTTTTATTTAGGGGGCATTTTATCAACAAATTGCATGACAACAACACAAAAGTAATCATCAGTTGAACTGGGCAGTGTGTACTGTAAAACCCATGGAGTAAACTGTTGTTGATGATTGGAAATAACAGTTTTGGAATTGTAGATCATGTAAAATGTGTTGCACACATATTGATGCAAATTTTCTATTGGAAGGAACAAAGTCCTTCTATGCTTATTGTTTTTTTACTTGGTGTCTATGAATCCAGTTTGAGATATATCATAAGAATAGCAACGTTTGGATGTATTGCATGAAACAAAGGTCATGAATAAGCCAACGGCAAAGGCACACTTAATTTTGCATTTCCTATCATGAGATATTAGGATAGGCTTCAGGCCGTGCAGAATGAAGAGCTTAGTGCATAATACAAAGGGCAAAGTTTTGTCAAATTGAGCATAAACAAAAGGTTTTTACAATCTCAGTTGTTTACCTTCTTCAAATGTCCACTTTAAAACATAATGGAACCAGGCCATTTCCCCCAAATCACAGACATGTGGATTGCTTCATCCCGATTACCATGTGAGAGCAACTCCCAGCTATCAGCCAGACTGGAAAGTGACCTGCCCTACAAAAATGAGCCACACACAGCAATTGATAATTATATCTAGAAGATTTTATTTCTCAAAACATCCGACTCTACATTAATAAACATTAGAAGAACAATAGGTCCCACACTCTGACTAAGTCGGCGCTCGGGCCCTAATAATAATAAAATTTATTTATAGAGCACTTTTCACAGACAGAAAATCACAAAGTGCTTAACAGAGCAGAAATTTGAAAGCACAATGTGACCATAGGGTCAATAAATTACATACACAGAGAGAAAAAAAAAATTAAACATATTTTAAGAGCAGGTCTAGGACATGGGTTTTTACTCAAACGCCAGCCTAACAAGGTGGGTTTTGAGCTGTTTTTTGAAAGTATTCACAGAATCTGCGAGGCGTAGAGTCGCAGGCAGAGCATTCCACAGCCTCGGCGCCACTGCCTCAAAGGCTCGGTCACCACGGGTCTTAAATCGTGTGCGTGGAACTGACAGAAGACCTAGAGCGTTTGACCTGAGAGTGCGGGTGGGTGAATATGCGTGAAGTAGATCAGCTACATAAATAGGAGCCTGACCGTGTAGTGCTCTGTAAGTGATGGTGAGAATTTTGAAGTGTATCCTAAATGCTACAGGGAGCCAGTGGAGAGATCGGAGTATGGGGGTGATGTGAGACCGTCGATTTGTCCTGGTGAGTAATCTGGCGGCAGCGTTTTGGATTACCTGCAGACGGTTAAGAGCAGCTACACTGAGTGATGTGAAAAGTGAGTTACAGTAGTCAATGCGAGAAGAGATAAATGTGTGTATGATCTCTAGTTCAGGTGTTGATACCACAGATCACAGTTTACTGATATTTCTTAGATGGAAGAAATGATCTGGCCAGCTGCTTAACATGGGGGTCAAACGACATGGATCGATCAAAGAAAATCCCTAGATTGCGCAGGTTGCAATGGGCAGCAGAGGAGAGTGGACCAATACTCTGCCTGATCATAAGGACAAACTCATCTGGAGCAATAACTAGGACCTCCGTCTTAGTGTCGTTGAGTTGTAGGCAGTTTTCTGCCGTCCAGTCTCTGATGGCATTGACACAGTCCAGGAGCCTAGTTAATGTGAATGCCTCGCTGGGTTTGAATGACAGATGGAGTTGGATATCATCTGCATATAAATGATAGGACACATTATAACTTTTTATAATCGGTCCCAAAGGTAACAGATAAAGGGAAAATAACAGAGGCCCCAGAACCGAGCCCTGCGGTACGCCACAAGACAGTGGAGAGGTAACAGACACAAAATCACCTACAGAGACATTGAAACTTCTGTCATTGAGGTAAGACGTGAACCAGTCTAATGCCAGATATGCCAACCCAATCACGTAGCCTCTTAATCAGGATGTTATGGTCTACAGTGTCGATTGCAGAACTGAGGTCCAAAAGAACTAGCACAGAGCAGTCACCTGCATCAGAACACATGAGAATGTCATTTGAAACCCTCAGGAGAGCGGTTTCAGTAGAGTGTTGTCTGCGAAACCCAGACTGGAATTCGTCGTACATGTAGTGCCTCTCTAGTGCAGCAGTAAGTTGGTTGGCCACCACTTTCTCTAAAATTTTGGACAGGAAAGGCAGTTTTGATATGGGCCTGTAGTTCATAGGCAATGCCGGATCTAAGTTTGGTTTCTTTAATATGGGCTGGATAGTGGCATGTTTAAAATAGGAAGGGACAATTCCTGTAGACAATGAGGAATTGACAATAGATGTTACTGCAGGGCCAATAATTAGCAGAACTTTCTTAAATAGAGAGGATGGTATTATATCCAGAGGGCAAGATGATGGCTTTGTTTTGTTAATTAAGTCCATCAGGTCTTGAAGGCTGATAGGCTGAAAGAGTCCAGAACAGTAGGAGATTGAGAGGAGCTACATGTAGATGAACAAATCCCAGGCTGAATGCCAGACCTAATAGCTGTTACCTTATCATTAAAATATGTAAGGAATTTGTTGCAATCGTCAACAGAACAGCATGGTAATGTAGAGACAGATGGTGAAACAATTCTCTTAATTGTGTCAAACAAAATCTTGGGATTTCTCTTTGAGGAAGAGATTAAGTTGGTAAAATAAGCAGTTCTAGCTTCCTTTACTCCAGCATTAAAGGAAACTCTAAGGTCTTTGAGATATGAGCGATGCACTTCTAGCCCAGTGGCTTTCCATAGCCGCTCTGTCCTGCGACACTTCCATCTCAAGCTGCAGACAGCGTCTGTCATCCACGGAGAAGTGTTGTAGGCAGCCCTAGTCCTTTCCTTAAGGGGTGCCACTTTATCCAGCAAAGTTGTGCAATGTTCATTCAAAGACTGTATCAGCTGTACTCTTGAGTAATAATGCGGGAGTGGAATGTTTGTTTCAGACAACGGGTCAGCATCGACAGAAAGATCAAAGAAAATACATTTATGGTCACTGATCAGTAGGTCCTCACAACGGGTATTATCAATATCAAGACCCAGGGAGAACACAAGGTCCAAGGTGTGACCACCCCTGTGAGTGGCGCCAGAAACATGTTGCGTGAAATTAAGAGATTCAGTAATATTGAGAAACTCAGTGGCACCGCAGTCTGTGGTATCATTGATATGCAGATTAAAATCACCAACCAGAAGCACTTTGTCTAGCGTGATAATAGAGGTCAGAAAGTCTGAACTCTGATAAAAACTGACCTGCAGGACCTGGAGGTCGGTAAATTAAAAAACAGTAAAACGGCTTTAGCCGGCCCACTTTAGTCAGCTGTAGTTCAAAAGTAGCATAGGATTCTGTGCTCCCCAATTGGCAGGAAAACTGATTCTTCCAGACCATGGCGAGACCTCCACCGCGGCCTGTCAAACGCGGTGTCCCAACATAAGAACAGTCCACAGGGCAGAGTTCATTGAAATGGATGCATTCCATATTCCGTTGCCAGGTCTCAGTCAGAAATAAAAAAGCCAAATTATGACTTGTGAACAAGTCATTTAAAATGTGAGCCTTGTTTGTTACAGAGCGTGCATTAATCAGACACATTTTGATGGGGGAAGACACTGTGTCGTCATCAGCACAGGAAGCTTCGGGGGTATGTGCAATAGGACGGATCACTCGTGCAACACCTCGAAGCCGACCATAACTAGGGCATGAGCGCGAGTCTGTGATTCTCACGGGAATGTTCATGGGTCATGGAGTGGAAGTTACGGTAGAGGCTAGGGAGAGAGTAGTAGGAGACCCTCTATGCCGCCAGGGGGAGGTAGTGTTGCTTGTAGGGGATGAATGCGGCTGATGAATGAACGTAGAGGAGGAGTGACAGAGGACAGGGGATCCAGGATCATGTGTGCCAGGTGTAAACAGTCAATCATGTGAATAGGAGTGAACAGCATGCTGTAAATTAGCCGCTAGCAGGCGGCTACCCAGCTTGTTAAAATGAATACCATTGTTCTTAAAAGCGGAAGAGCGGTCCCAAAAGAGATTAAAATTGTCAATGAAGCTCACGTTGTTGGTCCTGCAGGCGGCCTGGAGCCAAGTGTGGAGGCTGAGGACTCTGCTGAACCGCTGTGATCCACGGCCGAGTGTTGGAGTTGGACCACTGATAAAAGCAGACAGTCCACAGCTGTTTAAAAAGTGTAAAATATTTGTAAAATCAATCTTGGTCAACTCAGACTGGTGGATGGCTGTATCGTTGATTCCCACATGAACGATAATTTGCCGAATGGTAGACGGGAGGGCGTGCAGCAGGCCAGGCAGTTTCAGCAGGATGTCTTGAGCCATTGCTCCGGGGAAACAGTGTGTGGCCGCGTTGAAGAAACGGGTATTCCTGATTATTGAGTCCCCGACAATCAGTGTCATCGGGGCGAAGAGGGGACGAGGCGGCAACACTGCGCGTGTAATATGCTTGGATGGAGTCGAGGATTTAACCAGTGGTAGCGGAGTGGACGAGCAAGGACAGAGAATGGGGGACCGAAGCTCGCCGCGTTGCTGGT